GTACTTAATTCATGACTGTTTGTGGGACATTGCTGTGTGCAAAATTGGCTGTTAGGACTTGAGCTTGTCGTCTCGGCTGACAGTCCAGTACAATACTGGAGGAATATTGTATGATCAGAGTTGCCATCTTTTGAATGAGACATTAAATTATGATTCCCGTCCATTTATTTAAATGGCTCTTCATGAAAGGATGGCAGGGCGGGTGTTCTGGAAGGATGAGGTCAGATGCGCTGAAGGGCCTGCTTTATCCAAATGTATCTTTTGATCTTGCAATCCCAGTGTTGCCTTTCGTAAAGAGAAGGGAGTTTCTGCCTGTGTCCTGGCCAGCGATCCTTCAAATTAATTAGTTGTTCACTGTGTGGCTATTTGTGGGAACTGGCTGGCTCAAATATGTGCTGGATTTGCCTATAAAAACAGTTACTACATTAATAGTTGATTTACCTTTGAGACATTTAATACCTTTAAATGAGTACGATCAAGTGCTGCAAGAATTTATGTTTGTGCAAGTTGTGCTTTTCGAGCCAAATAATTGTGTCCATTTTAATGTTCAACTCACAACATTGCTCTATTGGACCTCTGTGATACGCCTTGTCAATCATTGTATTATTCCTCTGCTTCAGAGTGTCTCAAAGAGCCAAAGCTGTTCAGGAAAGTAATATTAAACCTTAGTCCTCGCAAACTGACTGCAACATGCTGGTTTCAAGATTTGAAAAGAATACGTTTTTTTGCAGTTTCAATTTTCCTGGCTAGTTAGCATATTTTGGCATTTTAACACAAAACAAGGCCAACAAAAGTATTTTGTATCACATTAAAGAGGGGAACAAGGTTCACTTTGTTACATTCTTTCAATAACAAAATTAAATCGGTTGTGATTCTCTGCAAGTCACAAATTCTATAAATATGCTAAAATAAACGACATGCATATTACATCACGACAATGGGTGTTTTTTGAAAGCTTCAAAATATATGAAATACTGAAAGGGTTATAAATAACAGTAAGGGTGGATAACTTTCCTGATGGCTAGCTTACTCATTGAATAGTCGAGCCTTACAGACACCAAAGGTGCCAGGTTCAATTCTACTTCATTGAGCTGAGCTGCTGGGTTCACCTACCAAGAACACGACGACTCCACTTTAGAGTAAATACTGTGAAGTGCTTTGCAACATCCTCCTGATGTGAAAGGAGCTATACCAAATGCAAGAATTATTAATATTATTTTAGGGAGAGACACTAACTTAGTATTCTTACTCTGGTCTATGGACAACATAAGACAGAGATCCTATTTTATTCTGTTTCTGTTCTACCCACCAAGCGCTACTGGTGATGTCCTGGCCAACAGTCCTCTAAATACAAAACACAAAATACTGCAGATGCTGGAAATCTGAAACAAAAACAGAAGTCGCTGGGAACACTCAGCAGGTCAGGCAGCATCTATGGAGAAAGGAAAGTGAGTCATCGTTTCAGGTCCACAGCCCTTTGGCAGACTGGGGCATGTCCATGTGCCGTAATGAAAGCATCTCTTATGTGGCACCTTATTAAACACCTTCTGAAAATCTATATAAATGACTTCTTTTGATCCTCCTTTATCTATGACTCAGTAGTTCTGTCAAACAAGGATTGTGAGACATGGTGGAAGCAGATTCAAAAATAACTTTAAAAGGGAATCGGATGTATACTTGAAAAGGAAAAAATTACAAGGCTATGGGAAAAGAATGGGGGAATGGGACTATTTCAAAGAGCCGGCACAAGCACGATGAGCTGACTGGACTCCTTCTGTGCTGTAGGATTCTACGATTCTATGATTCTGTGAAACATGATCTACCTTCCACAAAATCATCCTGACTCTCCCTGATGTGTGCACTTTTATGCAATACTTTTGTTACTCTGCACTTGATGATGGGTTCCAGTAATATAAGGTGTCAGCCTGGCTTAGTCTGTAGCACTCTCGCCTGTTGAGTCAGAAGGTTGTGGGTTCAAGCCCCACGTTGGAACCCATATAATCTACAATGACACTTCAATGCAGTACTGGGGGGGTGCTGCATTACTGGAGGTGCCATCTTTCAGATAAGATGTTGAACCAAGATCTTGTCTACCTGTCCGGGTGGCCATTAAAGGTCCCATGGCACAATTCACAAAGAGAAGGGAGTTTTCCCTGGTGCCAACAATCCACCAAATAAAATTGGTCACTCACTTTGTGGCTGTTTGGGGCCATTGCTGTGCACTAATTGGCTGTCGCATTTGCCCACATAGTACACACAGTCACACCATTTGATAATATTCCTTTTGAAGTACTTTGAGATGTCTTGATGGCTTGATAAGATGCTATATCAAATGCAAGGATTATTATTATTAATTAATAAACTCACAGGCCAATAGTTACCTGATATATCTCGTCTTGAATTATTATGTGACATTCATTACCTTTCCACCTTCTGCTACAAATCCTGAATTCAGAGAGCTTGGGAAGATTATAACTAATGCATATACAGTTTCTTCAATACCTGGGGGGTAAATCCACCCCTCAAATGGAAGAGGGTAACCGGGAAATGAAATAAAACAACATGTTAACTTTAAACACTGTACAATTGAAAAACTTTCTTCAGTTGCAATCTATAAGTTTCTTTATTATCTTCACCTTTTTAAAATAACACCGGCTTGGCTCTTGCCAACCTGCACCTAATACTCTCTGGAATTAGGTAAACAGGATGCTTCCCTCTAGGGAGAGAGTGCGCATTCCATTTCAATAAAATCTCTGGATTTTCCACGTGCAGGTGGGATGCATGGAATTCTCAGTTTAGTTTGAAATGGTGATGGGTTTTCACTTTGTCAGACACCACAAAATAATAAAGTAACTTGGGAGAGAACTTCAGCTGTTCATCTGACAACAGTCAGCTGTTGTCTGATACAACCTGGAAATCCATTGCCATGTTTAAGGGTACCCAAACCAGACTGACAGTTCCACATATGTATTACCTTGCATATAAAAGCATACAAAAAATAAAAGTCCAAATGATGGTAATCTGAAATAATGCTGGAAATGCAAAACAGCTTAATCAACATCTGGAAGAGAAGGACAGCCTAAGGCTTCAAGTGTGGAATTTCATAATGAAAGCTCTCACTTGATATTGCCTTGACCTGTCTCTCTTTCTTTCAGAGATTGATTAGCATGCAGCAGATTTCCGGCATGTGCGTTTTTTAAATTTCAGATTTCACATCAAAAAGAGTTTGATAGTAATAGGTTGTTACGTGCTTGTTAAGTGAGAAAGAAAATAGATAATCCAGAGGTACAGGAAAGCAATTTGCATCTGTATTGCCACTTTCACTTAATAAAACCTCTCAAAGCACATGGCAAATGTAGAGGCACCTGCCAGCGAGCAGGGAAATGAGAAATTAAGAAACCTGTCAAGGCTACCAGGTCATAAGATTGGTTCAGATGAAGAATTGACTCACCGTACCATCCCCTCCACCACATCAAATATTCTTTTCAAATGAATCCAGGGTCCAGGCCTCAATCACCCTTCTTGGCAACATGTTCCAGTCATTAGTTACCCTCTGAGTAAAGAAAAACTTCCTAAAGTCTGTCCTGAAATTGCCCTTTGTAACACTACATCTATGCCCTCTTGTTGTCTCAATGAATGCATTCAAATGTACAACAGTTCAAGGGATATGTATCATAGAGGCTTTTGAAGGCAGGACAGAGGTCGTAAGGCAAAGTGGTTTTGAAAGAGAACTCTAGAGGACAGGGCTATGGTCGCTGTGAGATTTCAACTCTATTCGGCACCATAATCGGTTGTTAGGAGTGCGGGGTGGGTGGGGGGATCCTAATGGCCAAGATTGCCCTCAGGTCACATTATTGTTACAGAATCAGGGAGAGGGGAGGAATTACCAGTAAACACGATAGCCAATTTGCACACAGTAATGTCCCACAAACTGCCATGAAGTGTAATGACCAATTTTATCTGGGGATTTGTTGGCCAGCACACAGAGAGAAGCTCCCTCACGTGTTATATAGTGTCATGGGATAGGCAGACGTGTCCCTGGTTTAACATCTTATCTGAAGAATGGCATCTCCAACAATTCAGCACTCCATTCGTGCGTCAAACTTGACTGCGAGTTCAAAATCCTGACGGGGGCTTGAACCCTTCAGACTCAGAGGTGAGAATGCTACCAACTGAACCAGGCTGACACCTGATAATTATCATGGTGATAATCATCACATCACATGGCACATTTTTCTTCCCCTCCCGCGACAATTAATAAACGTGTCTATATCCAGAAACAAGCAAACCAAGAGTCTTTTTAACTTCTGCTCCACATGTCCATTGGAGTTAAATGTGCGATGTGATCCTTGTTTCCCTGTAGCAACTGTCGCTGTTGGTGATAGTATTATTCAGCAATGCATTACGTCATTGAGTATGACCCAAGCTTGTTATCGCTCGTCCAGCCTTGAACCGCTCCACATGAACGGGATTGTTTTATTGCTGTATTCTGGAAAGAAAGTTTATCTCAGCAGCCTTCCTTTAACTTTAATTTTAGTGTTGTTGCCAAACAGTCACAAAGGGCTAGCGCTCCTCTTGTAACCAGAGAAGTATATCATGAAAACAAGTTGGACCAGCACCAGGCTGTAGTGAGTGCTGTCACCGTGGTTTCCATTTACACTCATTCTTCTTGGTAACACACTCGCTCTATGACTTTCTCCTTTATCACTGAAGTTCTGTACCATTGTGGATCACTGCTCACATCCTCTTATCCTCCAAGCACACCACTTTGCTGTTGTGCTTCCCACTCTAACACAATCGCAAGATCACAAGAGAGATTCGGATGAAGAAGGTTCTTTGGCTCATTTGATCGCATCCTTCCAGACTACCCTTCCAGACTGATTTCCTAGCATTAAAGCTGTTTCTTAGATGAGTCCGGTGTCCTGGCCTCAGCCAAACTGTAGTAATAATAATAATAATAATCCTTGCATTTTGATATAGCGCTTTTTCACGTCATCCAGATGTCTCAAAGGTCTTCACAGAATATACTGCAAAGTGAATTGACTATATTTTGTGGGCGAAACGCAGCAGCCAATTATGTACAGCAGTGTCCTACAAACAGTCGTGATTTGAAAATAACTAATTTATTATTGTTTTTGTTTTTGGAGGGATTATATTTAGGCGTGTGGAGTAAGGAAACTTTCCCAAGGTTTCGCCCTGCCTGGAATTGAACCCAGGTGTCTCGCTTGCAAGGCGAGTGCTCTAACCACTGAACTGCAGGACTCCACAAGTGCATTGTTTAGAGCATTTGCCTCGCAAGCGAGAGGACCTGGTTTTGATTCCTGGGCAGGGCGAAACATTAGGCAAGTTTCCTCACTCCACACGACTCTGTTAAGTAATTAGGAACACAGTTGTTAGTCAATTGACAGATCGCTTTTCCGGGTGTAATAATCCTTTAAAAAAAACAATAATTTGGTCTCTCAAATGCACGACTGTTTGTGGAACACTGAAGCGCACAATTGGCATCTGTGTTTCGCCCACAAAGCATACAGTCAATTCACTTTACAGTACTGTGAAGCTTTTTGAAATGCCTAGAAGATGTGATAAGGCTCTAAATCAAATGCAAGAATTATTATTATATCATAATCTTTCTGCCAACCTGTTTCAGTCATTAATTACCCTCTATATGATACTTCCTGCTGTAGGTTCTGAATTATATCCTTTAAGGCCCTGATCCTGTGCCCTCTTGTTCCACTGTCCCGTCTCATCAGAAAGTACTGTTCTGGGTTTACTTTCTCAAACAGTCTGTCACAGATACCAGTGGACACAATATTTTTGTGTCCTCATGAGCTCAAACCACTACAATCAATAACCTTAATAATCTGTCGAGGATCATGTATTCTCACCAACTAGTTGGGAAATTCATCAGTGATCAGCAAATTGCTCCATGTGCACTGCCCCACCTCGCCCACACCCAACACAAACACACACGCGCACACACCGAGTAAGTACACCAACATAGACATATGCACAATCTTCAACTCAATCTGGTCACATCAAGAGACATTAAGTTTTTTTAATCAGTTCTGTCTGTCAATGAAGAATTTTATTAATACGTTCTGACTCTCTTGGCTGTGTTTTGAATAACTTTCACATTAAGTCAAAGCAATATAGGCCATGTAAGATGAATAACAATTGAATCGTGTACCTATTAACTGTGTCTATCCATCTCTGTATAGTTAAAATCAAAGGCAGGGTAAACTCAACTGATATTTCCTGGAGTGCAGAACTAAATGGGTGATGTAACTGAGCTGTTTAAATCAACAAGTGAATTGTTGAGGTAGAGAGGAAATGTCTCTTCCCTTTACCATGGGAATCCAGAACAGTAGCACATAATCTTAAAAGCAGAGATGAGGTGTAAACAGAAAAGATTTATTCACATGAACATTGTGAGAATGTGGAAGTACCGCCTTAGAATGAATGAGGTGTTTAAGAGCATGATAGAGAGATAGTAAGGGTATTAACGCAGATGGAGAAAAGGCAGGGGAAATGGGATTAAAAAAATAAAGACTTCCATAATATAATAAAATGGAGAGAAGGTTATATGGCCTTCTTTTGCTCCTATACAGTTGAAATGGAAATAAAGGATTTGTTTGAGGCTCATAACACTTGGATTTCAGTAGTTCCCAGTAACAGTATCCATATTTAAGTTCTACATGTTTCCAAGCAGTGGAAGCTATTTGTGCCATGAATTAATTGCAAAGGCCTAACATAGGCTTAAGCTTCACATAAGCTTAGGCTTGTACAAACACAAGAAGTTGATGGAATGGGTAAAGTTAATCAATTCCATGAAACAAAACCACAGGCTTGGCAACAGATGGGAACTAGCTGCAGGAAAGACCGAAGCAACTGTGTAATTTCAACCTACATATCCCGCTTTTCCAAACTTAGGCTTTGCATCAACGTTTCAGAAATTATTTACATTACAGATATTAAGCTCTCACCCAAGAGCTTTTCAAAACAATTCCCTTGTGTTAAAAATGGTTCGTTGCATAAAGATACATACCAAAGTGCTTTTCAAGATCACCTTTTTGCATTCTCTTTTTCCGTAAGAATTCCTAGTGTTTGAAGTGAAGTTTTTGGGCAATACAGGAAGAAATCCCAGGTCCTATATCTATAATAATAAATAATAATAATCCTTGCACTTGATATAGCACCTTATCACTTTGTTGAGATGTCACAAAGCTCTGTCTCTCGTGGTCTTAGCCATTGACTTAAAACATCAGGTCATAAACATTCTCAAATTCAAATTCAGTCATAAATTGGAAATAATTCTTAACCGGCTTCTGATTAAGGATGCTGGTCTCAATGTGTGAAACAACTAGATGCTTTGACAGGAAGAGAGTAGAATGGGTATTTTGGAAAACTGAGATTAAATGGACTGACAGGCCTTCTTAATATGGGATTGGCATGTAATCATTTGTTAATAATAATAATCCTTGCATTTGATATAGCACTTCTCATGTCTTTGAGACTTCTCAAAGCGCTTTACAGAATATACTGTAAAGTGAATTGACTGTATATTTGTGGGTGAAACGCAGCAGCCAATTGAGCACAGCAGTGTCCCACAAACAATTGTGGATTGGACCAAATTATTATTATTTTTTCTTGAGGGATTATTATCAGCCATGTGGAGTAAGAAAACTTGCCCAAGGTTTCGCCCTGCTGTGAATCGAACCCAGGTCTCTCGCTTGCGAGGCGAGTGGTCAAACCACTGAGCTACAGGACTCCAAAATGCAGATCAGTTACACTCTGAGACGCTACCCTGCATGGAGGGTGCCATATAAGTGCAAGTTGTTGTTGTTGAAACATTCTGACTCAAAAGGAGGTATAAGGAACCTCAGTTGCTGAGTGCTGGTAGTGTGTCTTTAATCAAAAGAAAATTGTTCAGCTTGCTTAGTTAGTTCCATATCCATTTATTTCTCCCTCTACCCCACCACCAGCTCCAGCTTTGTCAAGCTCTCTGAGATATCATCCAGATGTGAAAGCCACCGTGTAAACATAAAATCATTGTTATTGCATTTAAATGGCTAAATATGATGTTTCTCATTGGCACAGTAATAGGCTAAAACGTGTTAAAGTCACTATTTGTGTTATCCTTGGTACAACTGGCATGTTTAATGCTTTGTAAATACTGTTTTCAATGTTCAAAAAGAATCTTAATCTGATGTTATAAAAATCGACAATCCCGAAGCACTACATTTTGTTGATTTTCAAAACAAAGTGCTTCATTCCACATTGTGGTTTAAATATGTTCACAGTACAAGTGAACCAAAAACAAACAAAAATGGTATTGCTTGCATATGAGATGCCAGACTAAGGCAGTGCCTACGTCATGTATACTGATGTGAATCCAGGGAATAAGTTGCATTGCTTGCTAGTAAATAGTAAATGTTTCTATTTTATAAAGATTCTTTTCTCATTATAAAGTCAGCTGAATGTTTCACGATCTGGCTAGGATGAACCCAAGTTTATTTAAACTCTTTCTCCCCAGCTCAGCATCAAGCTCTGCCACTCTTAAGTGCTCATTGTTATGTTGTTGTTAAAGGCAGTAATGTAAATTACATTGCAATATTCATAATAGTGACTGAATATTTGTAATTTGCGCACAGCAATGTGAAGGATGTGATTCTGTGTGAACGGCGCTATATAAATGTTTTGTTTTGGTTAGCTGGGTGTGTGACACAGGCTTAAGATCACTATGCTTAAGAGTACTCAAACCAATTGTTGACCAGGACACTGGGAGAAACTTATTTCTCCTTTTAGATGGAAAATCTGCAACATCTGGTCGTCCACTTGGACAGGCCGATCCTGTTGGGATAAACAGCACTTATACAGCAGAACTGGTGTTGGTGCTGTATCAAACATTTCAATGCAGCACAACACAACAAATGGTCCATATTGGCCAGCATTAGCAGAAGCAAATGCATCTGGAGAGGGCAGCCTCAAGTTGCTTTAGCCTGAAGCTCACTTGTCTCTTTTCCAGTTATCTCCCATTTCTTTCTGAAAGAGGTAATTGGCGCTGGGCTGCAGTTACACACCACTTCCCCAGTGCCTTGCCCAAGTGATCATTCTTAGCTGCAGGCCAAGAACAGCGAGTACCATAGGCCATTGATCCCCTCGTTCCATACAGGTCATGTGCAGAATTAAATCAGGCAAAGTTAGGCATGAACGAGGTTTAATATTTCTCCGAAAAACAGAATAAAAAGTGGCAGGCCCTGTTCTGCTGGATGATGTTTTTTAATTCTCCCTTTCGCGGGCTGACCCTGTGAAATCCGTGTACAAAGTAACACCAACAACAACAACTTGCATTTACATAATGCCTTTCACAAAAGGTACGGTCTCTGAGCATCTCTGAAGGGTGTATTCTTCAGGAGGGGGGTTTTGAATCAAACTTGGCAAAAGAGAAACATTGGCAAAGCTTTGCATTCCAAACTCCCAACTTTTCATCTTGAATTGTATTCAGCATAAATACTGATATCCCAGATTAAACTACTGAATCTATAATTTTTTTATATACTTAATCCAATTGATTTCATATATATACACCACAGTAATTCTGAACTAATCATTGAGCATGACTGCATGGTTACTCTTTTGCAATCTTTTTCACTGGCAATAACTGGGGTGCAGTATTTCCAATCAGCATCCTATTTGTTGATTTATTAATTTTGTTCTTCTGCTTTGTGACTCAGGGGCCGTAAAGCTCTGGCACTATTACCAAGAACAACAAAAACAACAAGATTGCATTTATAGTGCGTCTTTCATGTCGGGAGGATGTCCCAAGGCGCTGGGCAGTTGGATCGGAACCCGAGCAGGGGGGAAATGGTCAGGTTGAGGGGAGGGAAGGGAGGGAGCGAGGAGGGGGTAGAGAGTCAAGAGGGGAGCTGAAGGCACGGTTGAAGAAACAATAATTTGCCATTTACTTCTTGACTGTGCGCAACTGGGCTGCTGGGTTCACCTACAAATACACAGTCACTCCATTTCACACTGAAATCCTGAGAAGCAATTTCAGCTGTCCTCTTGACGTGAATGGTGCTATACCAAAAGCAAGTGTGTGTCATCCTAGCTCAGTTCCTAACACTTTCACCTCTGAGTCAGAAGGTTAAGTCCCAAAACTTGGAAATGATGATGCTGCAGCGCGATGCTGGGGATATGCTGCATTATTGGAGGTGCTGTCCTTTAGATGCAACATTAAACTAAAGCCCAGTCTGCCTGTTCAGGTGGAAGTTAAAGATCCTATGGCATTATTTGAAGAGAGAAGGGAGTTTCTCCCAGTGTCTTGGCCACCAATCCCCCCAAATCAAAAAATGGTCATTCATTTCATGCTGTTTGTGGGATGTTACTATTTGCAACTTGGTTGTTTCTTTCGCCTACTACAACAACAACAACAAAATTACATTTGTATATCAGAAGGATGTCCCAAGCCTACAATAATAGAGTTACTATGCTTTACAGTAAACCTATGAAGTGCTTTGGGACATCCTCCTGATGTGAAAGGCGCTCTACCAAATGCAAGGTTCTGAACCAAATTATTATTATGTTATTACAGTTCAAATCACTCTGAAAAAGTAGTTTCTAAATGGTTTCAGTGATGCATCAGCCAGACCAATAACACTGCCACGTTACGTACGAATAGTTGTAAATTTTCTTAGTATGTTTGAACTATATTATTATTATTTTATTATTATTATTAACGTGCATCTGAAAAGTTTGCTTTAAGCTGTGTTACTGGTTGCTTCAAAAAGTTCAGCAGACATTCCAGCTGCTGCTGAGCAAAGTAATGGAATATTATTTTCCTTTAGAAGATCTTTTAATAATAAAATGTAATGTTTTTTGACAGACGAGATCATTGATGTGACAGTACCATTGTTTCACCAATGACATTGCTTTACACTTTTGTTTGCAATTTGGTACAAACCACTGTGCTAGAAAAAATCCCCTTTCAACTAAGCACTCCATTTACAAATGTAATTGAGAAAAAACACGTAAGCAGAAAACAAGAGAAAACGACAATATATTCCTGGTAACTTGCTACTCCAAGGGAGAAAGGCTCATTGACGAGTTATCTGGAGTGGTGAGTTAGGCATATGTATAAATGCATAAATTAATGCGGATGGGATATTGACAACGTGATGATTTAGGTGGTCCTGGCAAGTTATGCCAGGGTCGAGTTATCAGGAGTTTACTGTATTTAGCCCATCAAGTCCACTCCCTTCACACACTACAAAATTAGCCTGACTTAGTTGGTAGATCTCTTGCCTCAGAGTCAAAAGGCTGTAGGTTCAAGCCCCACATTGGGGTTTGAGCTCACAGTCTAGGCATACTCCATGACAGTCGAATACAGTGCTGGGGTATGTTGCATTCTTGGAGGTGCTGTTCTTCAGATGAAGAACAGCACCTTTAGGACCTGGGGATAAATCAAGGTCCCATCTGCCTGTTCAGGTGGATGTTAAAGATATTATGGCACTATTTGAAAATAGAAGGGAGTTTCTTCTGGTATCCTAGCCAACAATCCTCCAGATAAAATCAGTCATTAACTTCATGGCTCTTTGTGCGACACTGCTGTGTACAAATTTGCTGCTGCAATCGCCTACAAATACACAGTTACTTCATGGTAAGATTCTGTGAAGCTTTTTGAGCCACCTCTTGATGTGAAAGGTGTTATATTAAATGCAAGGATTACTATTAATTTTTATTATTAATGCACTCAAATGCTCTGCTCGCTTTTCAATATAAAGCTACGCTTAAAGCTGTGAGAAGAGACCAATCCCATTATAACATACACTGTTTTAGCGTAGGTTTACTCATTCTGTGAACTCGTGCTATACTGTGCACACTATGCAGCTCTGGTGCTTCTGGAGATAATGCCATTGTGCAGGAAGTGATGCCAGCAGTGAGCCTCTTTTATCACTCCTCATTATCACCTGAGTTTAAGGATTCAAATTGTTGTGTTCTAACATGTTCAGCCTATGTAATTTTATATAATGTTATGTTGGCAAAACAGATCAAGCCGTTCCAATAATACTGAACCCAAACCCCAAATCTCCCCCAAACAACAACAACAAGAAAATTACATTTGTAAAACAGCTTTCACATTAGGAAGACATCCCAAGGCACTGAACAGTGAGGGATAAGGACCCGAGAGTGGGGGGCAGGGTTAGGATGAGGGAGGTCAGAGGGGGTAGGAGTGCAGCTGAAGGCATGGTCAAAAAAAGGAGGGTCTTGAGTTGTGCCTTGAAGGAGGCAAGAGAGGGAGCAAGGCCGAAAGCATGATTGAAGAGGAAGGTCTTCAAGGTAAGAATGAGGGTTTTGTACTCGATTCTCTGAGGAATGGGGAGCCAATGAAGCCGGGCAAGAATGGGGGTAATAGGTTCCCGGAGGCTGGTGTGGGAGAGGACACGCGCTGCAGAGTTCTGAATAATCTGCAACTTGTGGAGGGAAGAGTCGGGAAGGGAAGTGAGCAGGCAGTTGGCGTAGTCAAGTTGAGACATAAGGAAAGCGTGGATCAGGGGCTCGGCGCCCTGCAGTGAGAGGCAGTGGCGGAGGCAGGCAATGTTGTGGAGGTGTGGAAAGATGGAACGGCTCACGGTACGAATGTGGGGTTTGAAGGATAGCTGAGGGTCGAAAACGACCCCGAGGTTTCGAATTGGCTCGGTGAGGTGAAGAGTGCAGCCATGAATGGTGATAGAGTCAGTGGCTGATGTGAGGAGACACTGCCTGGAGCCAAACAGGAGGCCTCGCCAGCATCGAACTAGAGGAAGTTGGCTCTCGTCCAGGACCTGATGTCAGGCAGACAATTAGCCAGGGCATCAACAATCCTGGAGTCGAGGGTGGAGGCTGCGAGTTAGACCAAACCACAACAATTTTCAACACAGAGGAAAGCAATCACCAGTCTTTGAGGGTTGAATTATGATAAGATAAGGCTCTTCAGTCCTGAAATGAAATGTCTCAGAGATGAACCTATGAGGGCATATAAGAGGGAATACAGAAAATAAACTCAGAACAATACTTTCAGATGTGCCAAGGCAGCAGGATAAGAGGTCACAGGCTCTGGGTTGTGAAATGTATGACATACAGTAGGAAATATTTCTAAAGGCTAATCAACAGTTGGAGTAGGTTACCAGGAAACGTGCTGGAGAATATTGCATTCATTTACCAAATAGCTGGATTCTATAGCGAGAAGACGGTAATGAAAAATAACAAAAATCCTTGCGTTTGAAAATTTTACCTTACTTGATCTACAGCACTGCACATAATGTTTTGCAGAGTTACACTGAAAGTTTTAAATATTTTGTCTCTGTGTCTTTACTACAGGGAACCATGGGTTTGGACCACAGTGCAAAGCAATTGGGAAAGTCACCAGCAACAACCTTGTGGTTACAAGCAGTCCCCTGGTGGTCCAGAGAGCAGGGCTGCTGTCAAACCAGGCTATAGTCCATGGCAACCACTTCAATCGGGCCATGCACCGCCCGATGCACTCCAATCTGAATATTCCTGCTTCAGATACAAGGTCTGGTGATATTCCTGTTTCTCCTAATGCATTGGCTTTGCTATCATTTCTCATTCAAGAGGTTGATACTTTAACCTTGTTTACCAAGATTCATATTTGTTATGCTTAGAATTTGAGCTGAGTGTTTCAAAAGAAAATGGAGACTGCTGGGATTCAGTGAAAATAAATGAGAAGGATATGTTTTATATTTTTGAGCTAAATGTTCCACTTTTAAATTGTTAAATCTAAGAAGCTTTGAGAGGAAAAAATGCAATTTGCAAAGATCTGTAAAGACGTCTTTATTTCCAGTATCTTAAAAGAAAGCCGTCTCACTAGAGCAGTTCGCTCATTTACTCTTCAGCTCCCACAATTGACTACCACCTTTGCCTACAAACACACAGTCACTACACTTCAAAGTAAAATCCTGTGAAGCACTTTGAGACAATATAAGCATCAAATGTAACGATTATTATTATCCGTGTTCACACGATCAATGCGTTTCCTTTGTAGTAAGATGGGTTTTCAAGTGTAGGTGATGTATTTACTGTAAGCTTTTCCCCTCTGAGAAGAGAGACACCAAATAACTTATCCATCTTCCAGCACAGGATGAGTCCCTAGATAACAGAAGTAGCAGGAGTACTGGCTAATTTCCTTCCTCCCTAATGCTAAGAGTCCTAAGCCCAATTATAGTTCTCTAACAACTGCCCTGGTTGGCACCAACTGAATAGAAACCACAACTTTCCTGAGCTGCACTTCCTAGTTGTGCCCAGGTGATGCCGTTAACCTACTACGCCACCGGGGGAGTGATCTGATCCTTTAGCCCGACTGGCTCATTAGATGCTCAGACCTGCTTAACCTAACAGGTCTTATCGCTCTTGCACTATCTGTCAAGCTACTTAACCAGTGATTCCAAGATCTGCCAGTCACATAAATCTACTGGATTGTTGAACTTTGATCCTTACCCCTGGTAAAACTGCTCTCACTGATCTCATTCTTTGGAATAGACAGAAAATAAAGGCCATTCATAAATCTCATGTTTTTCATAGAATATGATGTGTACTCTTTACTGAGCCTTACATCATCTCCCTTTCTCAGAAAATTACTGTGGAACCTGGGAAAGCATCTGAACCATAAGCTTACACAGCGACTGATTTCCTTCTCTGCTTATCCTCCAATACACTTTGTGCTCTTGTGAAAATCAAGACAATTAAGGGTGACAGCCCCTAATTCTTTCAGCCAGCAACATTGCAGAAGCAGCATGGGAGAGCAGCATGGGAGAAGCAACATGGGAGAAGAGCATAGTTAGGAAATGTCAAGACAATTGACTGCTTTAAAACAATTTTGACACAAAATATACAGTCAATTCACTTTTCAGTATATTCTGTGAAGCGCTTTGAGACTCTCAAAGATGTGATAAGGCACTGTATCAAATGCAAGGATCATTATTATTAATAATATGGAAACCTCAAATGTTCAGCACAAAAAGAGGGCATTTGGGTCTATTTTTTTCTAAATCACCCTTGTTTTTTATAGCTCCCACTTTCCGTCTCTTCCTTTGTATCCCTTATACACATCAGCATTTGACATCTATCTAATGACATCTGTACTTCCCCAAAATGGAAGGAAATAAATAAAAACATGGCAATTTCAGGACAGAACAAAGCCCTTCCATCCATTGTCCTTGTTCCATAGTTTCTCCCCACTGAAGGCATTCACTCTAGTCTCTCCTCCTTTTCTCTTTTGCCTTAATCTTTTAAATCATGGAGTGAAAGAAAAATGGGAAAATCGTTCGCTATTTACCCTCTCGAACCTTTCAGAATTATCACCATTTCTATTAATTCTTGACTAACCCTGTACTCCAGCGAATACAGCACAGTTTTCTTAAATTTTTCATAACGACACACATGAGAGAGAAGAGATAGGGGTAATGGTGTCGGGGGGTGTGGTTAGGGGGGTGGATTAGAAGGCATGGAGTCTCTGTTGGATTATGAATACAGGCACGGACTCATTTACATGTACATGAAAACAGGGCATTCAGCCCAATTAATCTATGCTGGTGTTTAGACTTTGTATGAGTCTCCTCTCACTACTTACCTCCTCCTAATCCCTTCTCCCTCATGAGTACATCCAGTTGGGCATGTTTCAATGCTATAGGTTCTATGTAATCCTATGAAACATTGACTCATGCCTAGCACCTTCCTAATGCATCGATGCTACAATCTTTCAAAAGAAATTTTATAATGGGGTGTCTAAAAGCACTAAAAATTGGGAATGTTGCAATGGGTCACTTAACACACAATGGTCAATTTAACAATCTTGAAGACATTGACTGGCACACATACACACGCACACGCACACTTGCACATACATACTTTATTAATTGCCTCATCTGAGTAACCTTAGACATCTGGTTTGCAGGATGCTGCTCTACTATGATTCTTTTGTTTCCTTTACCTCATTATTCCAGTGATGGCCTTGCCACTGTCTTGTACGTATTCAACAAAGCTTCCTAATTATTTAAAATGTCATTCATGCCCCTATTCAATAAAATGCAATATCCCATTTGCCCCTTTACATAGCTGTTCTCCAGGTCCAATCCCGCTTTTAAATATGCAGCTGAGATTTCAGACCCTTTCCTCATTTAGTTACATTTCACTTCTATCTAGCAAAGCAAAACATATAACCACTTCCTTGCTGAGTCAAGGAGTATTCCTGCTGCTCAAGAAATTAAGTGAAAGCCTTAAATATTTGGTTCATGACTTGCTGCAACACGATACACCTCTTGGGATTTCGAAAGTTATTTTTATATAACTTTTATTGAAAATGGGCATTTTAAAGAATAATGTACAATGAACTCATCCATTACTGAAGGCGCCATTTAGTGTCCTTGGCAATGCCTCCTCTGGTGATATCTGTGAGAACAGGAATAGCCTCATAATGCCAGTGTCCAGCCAATCAGTTAAGTTACAATTTTACCAAAGCCAGCATTTAGCATTGTTTCAGAGTCTCAAAATGCCCATAACTAGGCTTTTTTATGAGTAAATTACAACTTCTCTTGTGACTCTTGATTTAAAGTTGATGTTTTAAGGAAACAACATGAGTTCTTTATGAGCTTGCCAAAAGGAGTAATGCAATGGTCCTTTTGCAACAACAAAAGAATCCCTCCAGCTTGAGCTGGAACAGGTTACCAGGAAGGGTGGTTGAGGCCAGGACGCTGGACTCATTTAAGAAACAACTTGACGGTATAATGGAAAAAAGGAAGGATGCGATGCTCTGAAAGCATGAGATCAAATGAACTTGTGATTGTAGACCCTAAGAACACCATCATTTTGCTCAGACATTTCTGAAACTTTCCTTAATAATAATAATAATCCTTACATTTGACCAGTGCCTTTCACATCAGGAGGACATCTCAAAGTGCTTTCCAGGATAAATTGTAAAGTGGAGTGACTGTGTATTTTGTAGGTGTAAATGGCAGTCCATTTGCACATAAACATCCATGAATGGAATAATCAATTTTATTTGGAGGCTTGTTGGTCATGTCACTGTGACTCCCTTCACTTTTCATATAGCGTTGCAGGATCTTTAACATCCACCTGAACAGATAGAGCGGTACCTTGATTTCATATCTTATCCGAAGGAAGACACATCCAACAATGCAGCACACTTCCAGCACTCCATTGGAGTGTCATCTTAGATTATATGAGTTCAAAGTCCCGATATGGTGCTTGAACCACAATCTTCTGACTCAGAGGCGAGAGTACGAATCAACTGAGCCAGACTGACTCGCTGAGATGAAGGAGGTTATCTCTAATGCAATAATGCCTCATGCTAGTGCAAGCACTCTTCAATTGAAAACAATTTAGTTTGTGTTTTACTGTGTAAAATTGGCAGCATATTAAATCTTGTTTGATTAAAATATTCTTACTATATTGAAAGAAGTGATAAAAATTTAGGTTTGAGAGTTACTTGCAGCTTCCGTTAATAATTATTTTATTTCCCTGATGCCTCCTTTGAATTTCACTCCCACGATACATTTTAGAATTCAAGGACATTGGACAAACATGCCAGTGGTTTAAAGCTCGGAATGTGTAGTGTCATTTCTATTTATTTTGTTTAACCCTCGCACAAGCATCCTGAGTAGCTGAAATTCCAGATAACCTTAGCATGTAAGACTATTTTGTCTTAAAATGTAAATTGGCACAGAATTGTTGGAAAAATCTTCAACTGAGGTTTCATTTGGTTCCTTCTAAGAACAGTAAGGGTGGTGGGGGGGCTGAATGCGGTGGGGGGGGTTGCGGGGGTGGGTGCAGTGGGGGGTTTGGTGGGGTGGTGGCAGTGGGGGGTGGGAGCTGTGGGGGGCTGGAGGCAGTGGGGGTGATGGGGACGATGGCGCCTGTGGGGGCAGCTTCCATATTAAGACCCGTTTTGAGGATTTTTCACAATTCCATGTATCTTACATTCTAAAATAAAGGCCTTGCTTGCTACGATATACATTTATATAGTGCCGTTCACGCCGGATAGGCAGAGTTAGATGCCGAGGAAGAGAGGAGGGGGTGGGGGAAGATGGTGAAAGACATAGTGAGGCAAGACTAGGACTCGTGGAGTACTAGTTAGCGTCTCGCCTCGCAAACAATAGGACCGAGATTCAATATGCCAGGCATGGCGAAATAATCAAATAAGGGCAATAATCTCTCAAATAAAATGTGGTTACTCAATCCACAATTGTTGTGTGCAATGGATTGCCTCGTTTGGCCCACAAAATACACAAATTCACTTTACAGTATATTCCGTGAAGCGTTTTGAGAAGTCTCTATATGAAATGCAAAGGTAATTAGTATTTTAAGATACAGTCTGAGACAAAGTGGAATTTCGGGCCTATCGGATCCAGAAACTATAAGATTGTGGTTCAAACACAAGTCTTAAACTGCATCCATTGTTCTTTTAAACTGAGGCTCTATTGTATATTAAAAAAAATTCAGTGCTTGGTCATAAAGTGACCCTGAGGATAGAGTCTTCAAGCTCAGTTGATTTCTCTTCACCCCCTCCATACCCCTCCACTCCCCCCCCACCCCCCCAAACACACACACATACACACAACACCAGGTTATCCATTGACAGAATGAAAGCAAGCAGTTATCTAACAAAAAAAACTGAAATTTATGTACCTTGAAGTCACATGGTGGCAAGCAAACAAAAGAGGCAGATTGTTTTAGTTGTATCTCTGACACTTGCACCACTAATTATAATTTTTTTCCCCCGACCTAGTTAATGCATGCAGGAATTTCAAATATGTCTAAGGTAAAGAGTTTCGGGTATGAACAAACATGGTCAAGGGCAATCAGTGGACATTTTTCTCGCCTGCGTCAATTGTAAACATTACTTTATTCTCTGCCTGTATCAGATCTGGACTTGGAATGTCTGTTGCTTTAGATCAGTCATTCACTGGTGGCGGTGGGGGGGGTGGGGGAGGATTGTGCCCCAACTGAGGCTAAACAAAACCAAGCCTATCCTATCTGGCCCCGCTCTCTTGAACTCCATCCTGGAGTCTCTATGACTTGATCCTTCCCTTACCTCATTTAAGGTCCATCTCTTTAACAGCGCCTTCCTTCACCTTTCCCCTCCCCATCCCCCCTCAGCTCCAACACCCAGATCTGGTGCCCAGCCAGCACTGTTAAGTGCTTTGGTATGTCTAGATGTAAATTTATATTGTTACAATTAGTGTAAATAAAGATTTAAACAACTTGCCTGTGAATGGACCCTTTTTCCCCTCTGGGAAGCCAATTTGTTTATTTCTAACATTAAATATACACTGTATATATACTGGGTCCAACGTTGCGACACGCAGATTGCGTAAACAAGCAAAGTTGTGGGCATGCATTTTTCATTCACATTTGTTTGGCCCTTTGGAAGGCTGCTAAATAAAACGAATACTTCTTGGGCATCAGTACTATTAGCTGATAAAACCCCCAAAAAGCTCTTTTCTTTTGATCTTTTGTTTGATTATTTTCACCCTCCAATTTTTTGCCTGTCTCCCCTGAAGACGTTCATTATTGCTGCCATGTGGTTTCCGGAGGTACTGACCACCCTCCAGTAACTTGGCCAAGTGACAGTCCTCCATTCGGGGGTCAAGGTATCTGGCTCCATTCTGGCTCTAAAGTGCAGTTTGGGCTAATAGCCCACGGTGCGGGCTAACACTGTTGAAACTCATGTGTAAATAACCAATGAAAAGGATTACAGAATCATCTACAGTCCTTTATATTCGCGGTTATTCACAAACCAGGAGTATCTGTGTGTGTTTCAATACGGAGTCCTGGAGTCCTGTAGTGTAGTGGAGTCCTGTAGTCTAGTGGTTATCGTACTTGCCTCTCAAGAGAGGGGACCTGGGTTCAATTCCCAGGCAAGGCAAAGCCTTTGGCAAGTTTCCGTACTCCATACATCTCTGTTTACCTAGCAATAAGTAGGAACCTGGTTATTAGTCAATTGGCAGATTGCTTTCTGAGGATAATAATCCCTAAAAAAAAACTTTTGGATTGTATTGGTCACTCAATCCATGACTGTTTGTGGGACACTGCTATGTGCAATTGGCTGCCATGACCCCACATACAGCACGTGAGTGCTGACCCCACATACTGCATGTGGGTACTGACCCCACAGATAGCATTTTGGTGTTGCTCTAAAGGTTACTGGCTGAGTTAAACTAGTAACTGATTTTTAGCTGCACAAATATGTCATTCTCCATGATTAGGAACATGAAAATCCTTAGGCCCAACCATGGTTCCAAGGGTGGAGGGATGCCAATTGCCACATTGAATCAGTTATGAAACGTCACAATTTTTCCATCATTTGTATTTGCTCTGTGGCTTCCTTTCATCTCCTTGTGGAGCCCTGTAGCTTAGTGGTTAGAGCACTCGCCTTACAAGCGAGAGGACCTGGGTTCGATTCCTGGCAAGGCAAAATGTTGGGCAAGTTTCCTTACTCCACGTGCCTCTGTTTTCCTAGCAGTAAGTAGGAACCAAGTTGTTGGTCAATTGGCAGATCGCTTTCCGGGGGTAATAATTCCTTAAAAAAATAATAAATCAGTCACTTCAATCTACGACTGTTTGTGGGTCACTGCTGTGCGCAATTGGCTGCCGCGTTCGCCCACAAATATACAGTCATTTCACTTTGCAGTGTGTTCTGTGAAGCGCTTTGGGACATCCTCCCGGCGTGAAAAGCGCTATATCAAATGCAAGGATTATTATTATTATTATTATTATTATTATTATTATTATTATTATTATTATTATCTCAGTCTTCCAACCCCAAGATGGCCTTGACTCCAAACCCACCAGATCCTTTTTGCAACCTTTCATTCAGCATTTAATCAGTTTCTTTCAGGCTCTCAATGCAAGGTGCAGCATTATTAGAATAGAAAAAAAGATGAACAAAATGGTTGTGATGAAGAGAGAAAGGGTGTCTGTAGGTGTGTGAGAGGTGCTCGGAGATACTTCCCAGATGTGGAGCAGTGACAAAGGCTTAGACGGACTTGGGCTTCCTCGAGAGCTAAGCGCCATTGAGGGAAAATTAAGTGTTTGTTATGAAAGGCGAAGCTAAGCTTCTCGGGGGCAGCTTTGGTGATGGAGGAGGGGTTAGAGTCCCGTTTGAGATCAGAGAATACACTGAAGGCCAGAATGTCAATCCACAAGGTTCCAAACAGTGAGAAGCACTGAGTGCTTGTAACAACAACAACAACTTGCATTTATATAGCGCTCTTCATGTGGGGCAGCGTCTCGAAGTGCTTAGTGTAACAGTATTGCAGCAAGTTACTGAGCCTCAGTAAATTCAGTAAGTATACAGTCCTAATCCAGCAATCATGTAGCTACACCTTGTTACTGTATTAATTCTATTTCCTCAGCCTGTCAGATCTCTCAACTTATTCTTTCAATGAGATGTCCTCACTAGTTAAAGGTGTCAGCTTGACTCAGTTGGTAGCACTCTGAGTCAAAAGGTTGTGAGTTCAAGCCCCACGTCAGGATTTTGAACTTGCAGTCTAAGATGACACTCCAGTGCAGTGCTGGCGATGTGCTGCATTGTCGGGGGTGCCATCCTTCATGCAAAACGTTAAATCATGCCTGTTTGGTTTTTATTGCGGATTTCATTATTATAATGTAGACTTTTTAACACATTAAAAGTTAGATTGATTGATTATATATAATTTGATACTACAGAAGATACATGGAAGTTGAAATATATGTTTATTGTTATTTCTATTGCAAGACCAGCATATATTTGTTTGCATGTTTGTGTCTTTTTTCAGTGGATTTTGTTCTCAAGAATACGCCCTCACACCTCCCTACCTCGCCAACCTGCTTACACCCTACTCCTCTACTTGCCCCCTCCGCTCATCTGGCTTAGGCCTCCTGCACGTTCCTCGTCCCCTTCGATCCTATCCCTTCAGACACTGTGCCCCAAACCTCTGGAACACCCTGCCTCCATCCCTCCATCTCGCCCCCTCTTTATCTGCCTTCAAATTGCATCTGAAGATGTTTCCCTTTCCCCTGTGCCTATGGTCACCTCCCTTTTCTCCCCACCTCTGTATGAAACTATACCATGGTTCAACGCTCTGAGATCCAGTGTGTAAGAGAGGCGCAATATAAATTCAAGTTGTTGCTGTAAAAGCTAAGCCCCAGTTCTTTACAAAATAGAGCAGGACGTTCTTTTGTTGCTATATAAGTGCACTTTCCATTCAATGTACCTTCTGGCAATATTTCCTCCTGCCTTTCCCTTAGCATTATTTTCATATTCATCTGATGCATTTCACTTTTTATATATAAATGTTTTGTTGGGCCGAATGCTGTGTTTGGCTTCCTTTTAAATGTACTTCCTTCTCAGCTTGTAAAACGGAAAAGCATTGCAACCATCAAATCCCGTGATTCTGAGAGTCCCATTATATCTGTCCTCTAATAGCATAATTGCTTGAAAGTTCAGATTGGTTAGAGTTGGGACTGCCTTCAGACCGCTCAAATTGTGCAGAGTTTTTCAACTGAGGCTGATCCTGTGCAAAGCCAGAGGACGGGACACAATACAACAGCTAAGCCCTTTCTGATCACTTCAAAGGAATGGAGCTTTGCTTTATGAAACTTGAACTTCCAGTCTGCAACAATTAGGCTCCTTCCCACTGAAAAGGAAATTGCATAATTAGGTTAGATTAAACTAACTTCAAAGCACTACTTTCCAGTGAAACAGATATTTCCAATGACAGCTGATGTTTTGCCACCTGTAAAAAGACGTTTGTGACAACGACCACGATTTTTACATTGTCTCTCTCTCCTTCACTTTGTTTTAGATCCATTACCTCTGGTGGATCACTGGCTTCCGCTACACTCAGCCTTATAGAAAGTCAGTCAACCTTGAGCGTGAAGCAAGAGTGGCCTCATGGTTACCCAATCCTTCCATCGCTCCCATCAAACCAAGGCTCCCAGAACAGCAGTGAGCTGGGAGACATGCTGAGTATACCTCCCGGCACCGCCATGTCCAACAACAGCACCTCCAACTCGTTGCCTTCATACCTGTTTGGGAATGAGAACAGCTCCCGTAACTCAGCCCGCTCCAACTCTGCTCGCTCCAGGAAGCGAGGCCTTTCCACCTCCCCCTTCTCCGACGGAGTGGGTATCGACCTCATCATTCGTACCTCCCCCACCTCTCTGGTGGCATACATCAATGGGTCCAGGGCGTCTCCAGCTAATATCTCCCCTCAGCCTGAAGTGTGTGGGCATTTCCTCGGAGTGAGAGGCAGCTGCATCCCTCAGTCATACAGCGCTGCGGGCAACCAGCGCAGTCTCTTTACGCTCACCGACATCGAAACCAGCAACGGTGTGTACCAGCGCATGCAGCACCTGGAGCAATCACCCCTGCAGCCCATGGTGATGAACAACATGGTCGTCCAACAAAGTATCTCCGTGCTGGATAACCAGCAGTATGACATGTTTAAGAACGAACAGGTGGACGATTTCTCCGCAGGTATGGAGATGCCTGCTCTGCCCCAAGGCCCTCCTCCGCCTTACCATGCGCACCAGCACCTCCTGAGCCTCGCGCACCAGCATGGCCAGCCCTCACCGCAGGGAGCCCAGCCGGACGAGGACGGGGAGCCGTCGAATGTCAATGGGAAGCACTGCTGCCGGTGGATAGACTGCAGTGGCGTGTACGATGAGCAGGAGGAGCTGGTGAGGCACATTGAAAAGGCACACATAGACCAGCGCAAAGGGGAGGACTTCACGTGCTTCTGGGCCGGCTGCCCGCGCAGATACAAGCCGTTCAACGCCCGCTATAAACTTTTGATCCACATGAGGGTGCATTCGGGAGAGAAGCCGAACAAGTGCACGGTAAGTGCCCAAAGCGGCGCTTTCTCTCTGCACGATCTTTATCCACTTGACAGTTTGCAATCACCACTCGGTGTTTATACAGATGCTTCGCTCAGCCAGTCAATCTTGAGAGCAAAGAGAGAGTTAGCCACATAGTTATACAATCTTTCCATCACTCCCATCAAAGCAAGGTTCCCAGAATAGCAGCGAGCTGGCTGTATCATGTTGTGGGTCTCCTCATACCACCACCGATATTGATTTCCATGTCCGCTTAGGTTGAAAGGAACTAACAGCCAACTGATCCCGTTCTGCTCTGAACAATAAGAGTCATTGAGTTTCTCTTTCTGATGTGTTTCTGGGATGTCTCATACAGAGTATGACACAGAGATCTATCCGTTGTGTCCTGATCACAAGCACTATCAATCTTTTCATTGCATGTTTATCATGGGAAATCCTTTCATAAATATTTGTAAATATGTTATAACTGGTTTTAATGATTGGCTCATGGTAGATTTCACCATATACAGGACACTGCTTTTGGATTCAACCTTTTCTTTCAGAGCGGATGGAACCTTCTTCCTCTCCACCATGTAGCTTTCCTCTCTTCCTCTATGTATTGTTAATTGATGCTATTATTGCAGAGTCTATGGGTTCAGTTTTATTTTCCTCCAAATAGTCTAATCAGGTTGGGTCAAAAAGACAAAGGAATGAGTATTGCACTATCGTGATATACTAATTAACACGCACACTAAAAAGACACCCTGATGATAATTAACATCCTGACTGGTTGGCCCTCTTCCTCAACATGCCTTTCAATGTTTATGCCAAGAATCCATCAACATTATGGCTTGGACTGCTAGAGTGTGAATCACTGAACCAAACCATCCCGTGTCCCGTTCATTGGCAGTCCAATGCAATGATGTGTGAGCTGGAAGTCTAATCAATGACATGCGTTTCTTCTAGGTGTGACCATTGAATATGGCACTGGAGAGGGCCTGGTTATTTGCTAACCTCAGTGATGCTGTTTGTACGTTATGTTGTAAGGGCTAAGGCTGCACAAAACATTATGACATTCTAGCTTAATGAATAAGCAACAGGAAACCATTAGGCTTGGATTCTGCATTGATATAATGGTGGTTGCAATTCCAAGTTGTAGCTAAATGATTGCTGTGTTTAGCAACCTGTGCAAGGTGGACCAAATGCAATATGGAGTGGTGGGTAATCACCAGATTACCACTCTCAGACTCCTCTTGGTTGTGCAGAGGAACTGAACTGAGAGCAAAATAACACTTTTAATGGGAATGAAAAAGAGTAATACTTTAGGATGCACCAAGGCAGTAGAACAAGAGGACATGCATTTAGAGTTGCAAAGGGCAATTTCAGGACAAATACCAGGATATTTTTCTCTACTCAGAGGGTAAATAACAACTGGAACAGGTTACCATGAAAGGTGGTAATGCTCAGGATACTGGACTCATTTAAAAACCAGTTTGATGTTGTTAAGGATGAGACGGTAGTGTGAGTGTTCTGGGTGGATGAGATTGAATGGTCCAAAGGGCCTTCTTCATCCAAACCGATCTTGTAACCTCTTGAGGGTCTTCACCACAGGAGTGGAGGTTACCATTCAATGACAGAGAAAACATTTTAAACAAAAAGGAAATCAGATACCTACTTGACAAAGAAATAGATTGAGGGGTGGCCAGCTGGTTGGATTGGACGGAGTGGACTTTTCCGGTGCTGTATATTCTTACGCACCTATTTCCTTGTACAGGAGGGACATAGTCATAATGGTGAAGGCAGAGACCAGGGCAAGTAAATTGATAGTTGAAATTAGGCAGCTGAGTTGTGAGGAGAGGCAATGAGAGTTGTGAATGTTACCACTGAGGAAGGGAAGGCACACAGGAGACTCGAATTGAACTAACAAGATCCTGAAGGCTGAAAAAAACTGAACATGTTCCACAGCTTTACCAACATTCTGTTTGAAGCCCAATTAAACTTGAATGGTTCAAAGACAAATATTTGAAAAGGAAAAGCATGAAAGGGTATGAGAGGGAGTTGGGGGAAGGCAAGTGAGTGGGGCATAACTCTTACAGGAAGCTGACACACACACACACTGGAGTGACTGGCTGTGCTGTAAAATTCCCTGAAAAGTTAGATCAAATTTTAATTTTAAGTAAGAATTAAATAATAATCTTTGCATTTGATATTTGATATTTGTTATAGCGCCTTATCACATTGTTGAGACAGCTCAAAGCCCTTCAGAGAACATATTGTAAAGTTGATTGACTGTGTATTTTGTGGACAAATGTTTTTTAAGTTAATTTAAAAAGGAATTAAACTGACTGAGTGGATTGTAGGCTGTTTCTGGTGATGTCATTGGGAATTCTTTTGACACATGCCCACGGACACTCACATCGTGTAATTGATTCACAATGTTCTGATAATCTGTGTGAAATGCAAATAGAAATATTACGGGCATCACATCATGATGTGTGGTTGGAGCTAGGCTCACATACAGACTGAGCCATCTTGAGCTTTCCCACATCCGATCCACTAGTGTCATCTGTCTTATCACACAGGCTGCTCAATAGCACTTGAGGCTGGCCCATTTATTGTGTGCTCATTGAGGAATGTTGGCAAAGCAGACCATTCTGCCCACAGATTGTTTTTATTTCCTTTTGAATAATACGAGATGAAAAATGCAAATGCCACAAATATTTTCTGAGACTATCAATCATCGTTCAATCCAAATATTTATCTGAAATTATTCCAGCGTTACAATGAAGAATTTGCTTTGAGCTGTTGTAACATAAGGCAGGGTGATGTTGAGATGGTGTGCATGCATTCACACTGATCAATGCTGGGGTTGACTATACTGGGAAAGGAAACAGTTTCCACATTGCGTCCCACAGAATTGAGTATAGAATGGGTTAGATTAATTGTGAAGCTTTTTTTATATTACCACAACAACACTGCACTTCCAGATGAACCAAACACAGCGTGGGACAGATTAAATGTGTAGCAAATGTCTTTGTATTACTATCATAATATATTCTGTGGAGCGCTTTGAGATGTCTCAAAGACATGATAAGGCATGGTATTAAACACAAGGATTATTACCATTATCAATCGCCATTTAACTCTTCCCATTGCCTCCCTTGTTTAAGTATTTAACTGTATTTAGACGTCCCAGAGGGATCGGTGTGTGTGTGTTAGTGTGTGTAAGTATGCGCCATCATTTTCACGGCAGATAAAGTTCTGTCACTATGTTCGGTGAAACATCTTAACTTGGATGGAGTGAGAGACGAGGCAAAATTCGTCTCTTTGACAACGTGGAGTCCTGCAGCGTAGTGGTCAGCAGGCTCGCCTCGCAAGCAAGAGGACCCAGGTTCGATTCCTGGGCGGGACAAAACTGTAAACAAGTTTCCTTACTCACTCACAAGCAGGAACCCACTTGTTAGTTGATCGGTGGATCGCTTTCCGGGGCTAATAATCCCTTCCATTAAAAATAATGTGGTCACTCAATGCACGACTGTTTGTGGGTCACTGCTGGGCACAATTTTCTGTCTCATTTCACCCACAAAATAAACAGCCACTGTACTTTACAGTATATCCTGTGAAGTGCTCTGAGAGGTCTCAACGACGTGATAAGGTTCTGCATCAAATGCAAGGATTATTATTATTATTATTAAATGCCTTGGGCTCAAATCCTGCACTGAAAATCTCCTTCTGGTGGTAACCAAAAGTACAGTAAGCGAACAGCAACAACAACAACAACAACATCTTCACTCCGGTGGCATCTCAGAGCGCTTAAATCTTGAGATGTGCTTGAGGAGGAATTAATTATAAGTGCAAAGGATTGCTCTTTGTAGCCTTTAAAGTCCCTAATAGCCCAAAATCTCAGTTGCAGATCACTCTGGAGTATCTTTTTATCCTTTACATTGCTTAATCTAACAGGCCACCTGGATGAGACTGCTATAACGGGGTGTATCAAATACTGATCACTAAATGTACTGAAAGCCTCATTCAGGTTTGTGGTGTGATTTCTCTTTATGTATACGAGAAACAAAGCGGTTAAAATTACCAAGTGTGGTAAGTTAATGCTCACGGATGCTAAATATCCATTGTTAATAAATGCGCTCCAGACAATTGATAGCGAAAGACAGCTCTATGATTCTGTGACCATGGTTAGGCCCCAAAACTGCCATTGCACAATTAGAGTGCCTGTCCGTGGGATAATATCGTCTTAATTCCATTCTTTGTTCAGTTAACACATTAGCACGTCACACTTTGCAATTTTGACCCCTTAAGGTTTGCTAGGTCCAGAGATCAGTGCAGGATTGTCTCGATTTGTGCTGAGGCTTGTTCCACTTTAGGGTTAAGTTATCCTCTGTAGCTGTAGGTGGAACAAGCCGTGTTGAGACTTTTCACGTTGATTTCCCTTCGGGTATTCACTTCAGTGAAGGAGGAGATTTTCCGTGCAGGATTTGAGCCCAAGGCACTTAATAATAATAAGCTTTGCATTTGATATAGCAACTTATCACGTCGTTGAATGTCTCAAAGTGCTTCACAGAATATACTGTAAAGTGAATTGACTGTATATTTTGTGGGCAAAACACAGATAGCAAAGGGCAGCACTGTAACAACAATGCCAGTCTATGTTACAAATAGGTAGAAACCATGAAGAGCATTTAAAAGCCCAATCGTATTTTAGTTCTTTGCTCATCCTTCATATATCTGGCACTGGTAACATTGTACAGCCAGAAGCAAAACGTACTCATGATTTGAATTAGAATGGAATTTCTCTTTAAATTTTTTTCATAAACAGTCATAAAAACTATGTTTAGTAAATCGGAGGGCAATCTAATTTTTATCCATATGGATGGAATTATGTCTAGTCACTCATGTTTTGTTTTTTTGTATTGTGTTACTCTCCTCATCGAAATACAAGGCTTCTCTAAGTGTCCGTCTAGAGTACCAGCCAATAATGTTCAGTTCTAGAAAACAGCATTTCACAGTCC